CTTTTTGCCAAAACAAGGGAAGGAGAGACCTACCTGGTTTGACACCAGTTTGCATAAAGTTCTACTCAGAAATACAGAATGTCTAGTATGGCAAATCTCAATCATGAACCTCAGAGTAGGAATCCCAGGAAGCTGGGAAACCTTAGGTACCCCAGCTTGAGTGCAGGCCATCGTTGTTGAATTTAATAAAAATTACACCAAAACAGCATGATTTCTCTAACACATACACATAAATTGGAACTTTCCTCCCATAAGCATTTTTTAAATTCTAGTTTTCACTGCAAAATGGATTTTTTTTTTTTTAATTTCAGTATTTGCCCCCAACCAGAAATTCTGAGTTTTGATCAACTCAGCTTAAGAGGTTACCAGAAAGGAAAAAAATTAGTGCATTTATTCCTCTTTTTGTATTCTTAGATGATATCTGAAGAAAGGTTGAGATATTTTGTTCTTATTGCTATGTTTCTTGCATGTGATTTTTCTCTCAGGAGAAACACCTGGTCTTGGCCACCTTCTGGATGCTGGAGAATTCAATAGAGAAGAGAAGATCCAGTGGTATTATGACATTTGACAAACTGATAGATTGAAACATGAATAATACAATTCTGATTTGTTGATTTGTTTTTTGCATTTTTTTTTCCAAATTGTCTAAGACTTCATTTAAGTCAAATTCTTGATAAAAGTTAAGAAAAAACACTGAGCTTCTTAGGTCTCCAAATAAAAGCTGGAAGACATGGGTTTCATTCACCATTGCTATACCCCAGGTTAACTGAAGTGAAATCAGTGTAAGTTACCTTGAATATAAATCTAGAGAAACAATGGGAAAGAGCTCTGGAATTTCTTAATTAAAAAATTACAATTTCCAAAAAAGTCAGTTCCTTTCAATATACTACAAAAATTGAAAGGTCACAAAATTTACTTTTTATTATTATTATTTTCTGTTACAGATCACCTTTTACATTAACCCAAAATACAAGAACCTGCAGAATACCACCACTTTTTCCAGTGCTGAACTGAGATAAAGGGGTATGTATATCTTTAACTATCTGAAGCATACAGCTATAGGAACTATCCAGTGACATTCAACAAATGTTGCTCTGGGAAGCAGTGACATGTTAAGCCCTGTCTCTAATGTGAAGTATCCATTGCCACCAGCCAAAAGAGGAACACTTAAGAGGAAGAATAAATAATTTTATGATAAAGATGCTGAAACAGATTTTGCTTTCAATTTCTGATGCACTTCCTCTGCAACCTCAGGTAACCTCTTTTAGTGGGTCATTTCTCCATCTGAAAAATGGAGAAAATAGTAGAAGCTTCCTCTTTGTTGTATCTAATTATATTTCAAGGTACTTTCAGTACTGGCACTCCTGCACTCTCTTGGCATGCATTTGTACAGCTCCTGGCACAACTGGGTCCTGATCAACTGATGGTTCTAGGTGTTATTGTAACACAAACAGCTAGTGACAATGAAGACATTCTTTTCCCCCAGGTTAGATAAGCGTCAGCACAATGCCAATGGTTCAAATAGACAAAGTCCCCTCTGGCAACTAGCAGAGGAGCCTAAACAAAATATTTAGGGCCTTGGGACTGTGCAGTTGCCTTGGATTTTTTACTGAATGAGCACTGGCAAAAATCTGCCAGCATAAATGCACAGGACTGTAATCACAGGTATCGGATAGCTGATGGTCTAGCCTAGGTATTGTTTTTTCTCATAGTCTCTCTTCTTCCAAGGTGGCTGTAGGGGAAAGGGGGGTAAAAGGGAAGAAGGAAGGAAGGAAGTGAGAAAATCTTTGGTTCGGTGTCTTAGAGACACCAGGATTGTAGGGGTGAGGGGGATCCTACATGGTGAGAGGGGCAGTAAAGAAAGGATTTCTGGGATTTTGAGGGTCAGGGCCAATGAAGAGGGTCCAGGCTGGACAGCACTTTGGTTAGCAAACATTCAAGTCAAGTAATCTCTTCCACAGTGTCACAAGGACATTGTTGTAAGAAAGTCTGAGGGTCTTTGCAGAGCCCTTTGATTTAGCTTTCATCTGCACGATTAAATAGCAGATGAGCTCTAATCTCATGCCAGTGGTGGGCAAGGGGAGAGAAATGACGTAAGGTTTCAGGCTTGCAATGGGATGGAATATGGCCAGAAAACTGGGGAGAGTGCTTGAAGAGTTTGGGGAACTGGGGCTGGAGGATTCTCCATGGCCTGGAGAAGAGCCTGCAATGTATTTCATGAAGAACCAAGCCCCTGGGAGCTTGACATCTCACCTTAGAGTTGTCCTCATGCAGCCACCCACATGCAATACCATATAGAGCAGTAAATAATATCACACATGCATGATAAATTGGGTTGGGGAAAAATCTACTGCTCCAAGTCTGGTAAAACTGTGTGTATCTGCCTCTGCCAAAAAGAGTAAGTGGCCCACAGCCCAGTTCATGCCCCAGAAGGGATAGTACACCTAGCAGCAGTGATGTGCCAAGATCCTCAGTTC